TTCAGAATGAAAATAATTATCTGAAATATAATTTATTTTTGAAGACAGGTGGAATTTATACCAGTGAACCATTGAACGGCGAAAATCTGGATTTTTGTACAAAAACAGGCAATTTCGCCTACACCATCAGCAATAACCTGTTTATATCCAGATCTAACGGAGATTCTTCAGTTGTGACCGATTTTAAGGATAAAAATATTGTAGCAGGACAATCGATAGCCCGAAATGAATTTGGAATCCAAAAAGGTACCTTCTGGTCACCTGATGGAAAAATGCTTGCTTTTTATCAGAAAAATGAGAGTGATGTAACAGATTATCCATTAGTAGATATTACTACAACACCTGCTACGCTGATGTCAATAAAGTATCCGATGGCCGGAATGTTGAGCGAAATCCCTTCAGTTGGAGTGTATGACCTTACTGGAAATTCATTGATATATCTGAAAACCATTGAAGATGATCATTATCTCACTAATCTTACCTGGGATCCTTCAGGACAGTTCATTTACATAGCCGAGATAAACAGGGCACAGGACAATTTCTGGTTTAACAAATATGATGTTAAAACCGGAGAAAAAGTCAAAACTTTGTTTGAGGAACATAATGACAGATATGCCGAACCTACTGATGTAGCATGGTTTATTCCTGGGAGGGAAAATGAGTTTCTATGGTTTAGTTACAGGAATGGTTTTAAGCACTTATACCATTATAATACTGATGGTAAACTGCTGAATCAGGTCACTGACGGCTTGTTCCCGGTTAATGCCATTTTAGGAACTGATAAATCAGGTAAGAATATTTATATTTCAGCTTATGATGAATCCGGACTGAATGATGGTCTGTATTTGGTGTCCCTTGATAAGTTGAAAATGCAGAAGCTGAATTCAGAACCCGGAGTTCATACTTTCGTGCCCAGTAAAAGCGGAAAATATTTGATAGACACATATTCAAATCTGACAACACCAAAAAAAATTAATATAACAGATCATAAATCCAATATTGTTCAGAATCTGCTAGTTTCTAAAAATCCTGTGGATTCAGTTAAAATTGGAGAAACTGAAATACTGAGTATTTTAGCCGGAGATAGTAAAACTTTGCTAAATGGCCGGATCATAAAACCTTTTGATTTTAACCCGGCTAAAAAATATAAAGTATTTGTTTATGTTTATGGAGGTCCAAAATTGCAGATGGTAAGAAATGGCTGGCTTGCATATTCTTCTTTGTGGATGTATGCACTTGCAAATAATGGATATGTAGTTTTTGTGCTTGATAACAGGGGATCTGAAAACAGGGGTTTTGAGTTTGAAAGCACAATACACAGAAATCTCGGGGTAAATGAAACCGAAGATCAGATGCAGGGAGTAAAATATCTTAAATCTCTTCCTTATGTAGATACTACAAAAATGGCTGTACACGGCTGGTCTTATGGAGGATTTTTAACAACA